GCTTGAGGCCTGGGAGAAATATCTTCCACTTAAAAGCAAAACAGTTATAACTACAGTACTTGGTTCCTCTTAAGGACTAAATAGCTAGGAGCTAGTGAACTATTTTCTACAAAACCATCTAGTCCTCTTTTCAAAAGCCTTTTAAATCACTCTGTCTTCCTTAGTAAGGATGTGTAGAAATGCCACTCCTGAATTCCAGGTCAGTGAAAGGGACAACATCAACCACCCAGGACCTGATAATGCTGGGTGAACATATGCTTACTTGACTTGTATTACAGAGATCCCAGTTGGAGGAAGCTGGGACAGATAGTCTATTTCAGCTTTGCCTGCCTGGGTTCTCTGTGGAGTGGCAGGTCAGACCTAATGGGCAGAGGAGTAAAGTTGTGGTCGTCTATCAAGGTCCTATCCCCCTCACCAGGTACCCCTGGGTTTGAGTGTATATATCTGAAAGTGAGCACCCAGGAAGAATAATGGTGCTATTGGTGTACCCTTCACCCCACTGCTCAACAGTTTCCCTTCCTGAGCTGGCTGAGTTGATGCTGGAATCCCCTGGGGTTGTGGTGCAGGGAGACTTCAGCATCCAAGCCGAGGCCACCTTGTCAGGAGCATCTCAGGACTTCATGTCCTCCAATGAGTAGGACGTGACAGCCATGGGACTGGGTCCAAAGTTGTATCTGGATGAAGTCATGTAGCAGGGGATGCTTTGTACCTAGTAATGACTTTGGTCTAGGTAGGTGGGATATTAAATGAATGAATGAATGAATGAATGAATGAATGAATGAATGAATGAATAGATGGTGCATGTTGGGCAGGATAGTGGTGAACTGGATATTTATTTATTTATTTATTTAATCAGGACTACATTCTTATGTGTAACAAGGAAAAGGGGAGGGGTGTATGATGGAAAACACTATGAAAACAGCAGTGCAGGAGATAATTTGTGATTTCTGGACAGCTCGGTATCTGTCCATGGAGCCAGAAGTTGAAAGTTCAATTCCCCAATGTGCCTCACATATTTGATCATCCATAGTGTCCATTCTAGCTCTACAGTCCAAAGGTTATTATTACAGTACTGTATTATTATCTCATCGTTAATTAATTAATTAATACCCCGCCCCTCTAGACCACGTCTCCTCCTATGGAGGAGATCTACATGGTTTCATTGTCATGGACAGGTAACTGTCTGGCAAATGACACCCAACTCTTCATCACCCCTTCCTCTCTAAACTGGAGAAATTTGTTTTGGTTGTAAATCAGTGTCTGGTGTCAGGAATGGACTGGTTGAGGGCAAACAAATTGAAACTTAATCCAGACACAACAGAGATTCTTCTGGTCAATGACAAGGCAGAGGAGGGAACAGAGACTCAACCTGTGCTGGATGGGGCTACGCTCCCCTGAAAACTCAAGTTTGCAGCTTGGGTATGTTCCTGGATTCTGCATTTGGACAGATAAAAATGGTGTGCCGGCTGCACCCGTGCATTGAGATGTCCAGTTCGGCAACAGTGACACATGCCTTAGTTATGTTGTGTTTGGATTACTGTAACACTCTCTGTGTGGTCTGAATGTGAAGACAGTTGAGAAACCCCGGACTCTCTGTGTGGTCTGAATGTGAAGACAGCTGAGAAACCCCAGCTGGTTCAAAATAGAGCAGCCAAGCTGCTGATCGGCCAGCTAAAGAGAGCACATAACTCCCCTGTCACAACAGCTTCACTGGCTAGAGACTAGTTGATTGAGACTTATGGGGGTGCCTTACAAGAGATAACGTTGCCATTATGTACGAAGTCTTGCTGTGTTAAACTTGCTGCAGCTGCAACCTTTCCCCATTCCCTGGGACTTGGGTGTGGGGGAGAAATTATTTGGGAGGCTTTGGGGGTTTATGTACGGATCCCTCTAGGAATGCTGTATCTCCAAGCATTTCTTTATACCCCCTTCTTGAACTAACCTAGCATTTTCTCTCCACGCACTGCCTGGAAGATGTGGCCGTAAAGCCATACTTTCAACCATTCAGTATTAAAAATTCATTAAGAATCCCATGATGCTGAATTAAGCTTGTCCATAGCTCTCACAGCCTAAAAGCTAGGAATAGAGACAAATTTACATACAGTGGTACCTCGCAAGACGACGACCCCGCTAAATGACAAATCTGCATAACAATGACTTTTTGCGATTGCTATAACGATTCGCCAGTCATTCCAATGGGGGACTTTCGCTGGACATCGATTAGGTACATGCTTTGCAAACCGTTTTTTCGCATGACAACGAGTTTTTCTTTTCGCGAACCGTTTGTTTGCAAGACAATGAGTTTTTCTTCTGATCGTCGGCTTCGCAAAATGGCTGCCCTGTGTTTTCCGGACCCGTGCTTCGCAGGACAGCCATTTTTACAGCTGATCGGCACTCGCAAAATAGCTTCTCTATGGGTGATCTTCGCTGGGCTACGAGGTATTTTCCCCATTGGAACGCATTAAACCGGGTTTCAATGGATTCCAATGGGGAAAGGGTTTTCGCATGACGACAATTTCGCTAAATAGTGATTTCAATGGGACGGGTTATTGTCATCATGCGGGGCACCACTGTATCTTTAATACATTGAACCCCAGCTTAAAAAATATTTTTTTTCAGGGTAGCTTTGCAAACACCTGTCTAAAAAGAAATGTCCTTTCCCCAGGGAACACATTGAGGTTTGCCTCTTCCCGCCACCCCTTCTGCTTCTTTTGGTTTGATTTGTTTTGAATGGTAACTTTTGTTCTCCTCCTCTTTCCACCCATGCTCTGGCCCTGAGGTTCTCTTTTAATGAACTGGTGATGGGAACTCATTGCTTTTTATTTAAATTATTATTGCGGGCTCTGGCACACAGGATATTTTGCAGCTGACTGCTAATTACGCTCCTGTTTGTATTTGTCAACTTAAAAAAAACTCAGCCTTGATTATTTTACAAATATGGCAAAGGAGATTCATCCAGAGGAAGCAATTAAGCTCCGTTCCAGAGCATCTCTGTGCAGTAGGCTCAATGTAGGCATCATGTAACGGTATTTTCCTGAAGGGTTTCAAAGACCCTTGCAGTTCCCAGAGGGGAAGGAAAAAAAATCAAATATATATCTGAACTGAAATCTAAAGTGAGGTTTTTTTCCACTTTAATGTTTTCCCCAAATTGCCCCACTTTTAAAAAATTGTTCAATATCCCCTCACACCCACTTTTTAAAAAGAAATACTCATTTATTTCCTCATCTGCTTTCGGATTTACTGTAATTCCAGGAACTGTGTAGTTTCTTATTTGCCCTGCATTTGATGGACTTTTGCCATGAAAACCAACCTCTGTGGAAACAACAGTTTCACCCTTCGTTTGTGCGGGGGACTGCTTTCTATAAGTACGCAGCGGGTGGTAGGTGGGCCAGGGTGGGGAAAGAGAAATCACTCCAGAAACGGTAGTCTGGGGGAGAAAAGGGAATCCCAGTGCTCCTTTCCAACCTAGCCTGACATGATTTTATGGATGGGCATGTACAATTTGGAGGTGAGAAGAGAATGGTAGAGGCTGTCAGCAAGGCCATTCAGAGAATTTACAGGGCCTTGCGGGCAGACGCGATAGAGCAGAGTTGGAACGGAGGCTGGCGGTGCGGACTGGAGCTAAGGAAGGGTAGTAGATTGTAGCCCAGGGCGGAGAATAGCATAGTGTCATCCCAGTAAATTCATCCTGGCTATGAATATATTAGGGACGTGGTGGCGCTGCAGGTTAAACCGCAGAAGCCTCTGTGCTGCAAAGTCAGAAGACCAGCAGTCGTCAGATCGAATCCACGCGACGGAGGGAGCTCCCGTCGCTTATCCCAGCTCCTGCCAACCTAGCAGTTCGAAAGCATGCAAATGCGAGTAGATAAATAGGTACCACCATGGTGAGAAGGTAATGGCATTCCGTGTCTAGTTGTGCCGGCCACGTGACCATGGAAACTGTCTTCGGACAAACGCTGGCTCTACGGCTTGGAGCTGGGGATGAGCACCGCGCCTTAGAGTCAGACATGACTGGACTAAATGTCAAGGGGAACCTTTACCTTTATGGATATATTGTTTGTTGACTGTAAAGGGTTTCGGTATCTACTAGTCATGATTGCTGCATCGTATGTCTCGTATCCTATCTGAAATCCATTGTGGTGCAGTGTATACAATCTCGGACTAGAATGCGAGAAACTTCACACCACTGTTGCAACTCACCGTAGGGTGACAGTGTTTAAACTACTCATTGAATGTTTTACAGACCATGAAAACCCTACTAGGGTCTCTGTAATTCAGAAGCAACTTTAACACACACAGTATGTTTCTCAGTACCGGAAGTGTGTTCTGCATTCATGCCCTGCTTGTGGGCTTCCCAAGAGTTATCTGGTTAGAAATCGTGGGAACAGAATGTTGGACTAGAACAGCCTTTCTGTCATCCAGTGCTACTCTTCCTATCCTCTTATTAGCTCAATCTTCTCTAGCTAGGAGCACCGTAGTGCAATGGTTAAACCTGCAACAAAAATTCTGCTCTGAGTTTGATCCAAATGGATTCAGGTAGCCAGCTTAAGGTTGATGCAACCTTCCATCCTTCCACGGTTGATAAATCAAGTACTCAGCTCACAGGTGGGGGTGTGGGCAATATGTAACATGCATAATTATGTTTTAAGATGCCTGGAGAATGCTTTAAGCATTATGGGGCAGTATATAAGCCGCACACTTTGCTTTGCTTCAGCTGAAAGACAATGATTCCTTCAGACACCAATACATACATTGAATACAATATATGCTTAAGCAGATCAGGTCTGTACCTCTGACACAAAATATTGCAAAGTCATTATTTTGACAGAGATTTTGGGATGTGCTGATTCTTCATTTTGTTATTGCTGTTACTGTTATTATCGTTGTTGCTCTTATTAATATTATTTTGTTATTGCTATTATTGCTCTTGCTGCCGCTATTATTGTTGTTGTTGTTGTTGTTGTTGTTGTTATTATTATTATTATTATTATTATTGACAGAGAGATTTCGGGATCTGCTGCTTGTGCCTTCCAGCTGGGATGCTGAGATTCTGCCAGTCTTCCAGCAAAGACATTATCCTAAGTAAGTAAATGTCATTTATTTTATTATTATTATTATTGACAGAGAGATTTCGGGATCTGCTGCTTGTGCCTTCCAGCTGGGATGCTGAGATTCTGCCAGTCTTCCAGCAAAGACATTATCCTAAGTAAGTAAATGTCATCTCATCCTTGTGAAGAACTGCATTTTTTCAAGCCTTCCTGTGTTGTTTTTCGTGGTGCAAAAGAACGGAGGAATTCGCCACCTGTGTTTGCAGACACTTGGATAACCCTCACAGATCCGCATCCTGCTTGTCTTGTCAAGCTATTCCTTCTTTCATGTCTTGCTGGACACCAACTCGTCTAGATTTTTAACGAGACATCCCAGGGAGTATATATATGAAGATTTGTGAGTAAAAGATATTTTTTAAATTCTTTCTCAGAACAAGAGTCAGTGATTGAATCTGTTAAGATGATATTGCCAGGTGAAGTAAAACTAACTAAACAATAAGGAGTAATCTATATAATGGAGATTTGTAATTCAATAGTAATCTGCTCTGTAGGTCTCTGGATTTTTTTTTTCTCCACTGCCTAGCTGGAGTTTTTAAACCAGCAATTTCCACACACTGCCAAAAGTTTATGATGGCTGTCTCTTAGTAGAAAAAGGGAGCCATCCTTTATAGAGATGGTACGCTAGATTCTTAAACAGAAGACTGAGAGTATGCCTGTAATAAGAATGTGTCCATTTTAGCAGGTGATTTTAATCTTTTCCATGTTTCCATATTTTAATCTTTTAATTTAATTTTAAATCATATATTGTTTAATTTGTCTTTTAATATTTAACTTACTGTGTTTTAATTGTGTGAATTTTAATGCTGAGAGCTGCCTTGGTCCCTTTGTTGGGAGAAATGTGGCATACAAATAAAACTAATAATAATCTGAAGGATAAGGCGGGGAGTTTTTATTTTGTTCTTATCCATTTTTATTATTGAGATTTCAACTACATAAGTAGTTTCTCATAAGGCAGAGAAAAAGCCTGAAAAGGTGGCAAAATAAAGATGCTGTCTGATTCTATATCATAATATCCCTCAAGACTTTGACCTAAGATTACACCCCATCTCCATATGAATATGTGACGCCACCTTGAATTGTCCATGTGAGCTAGTCTAGTCAACAGCTGCCTGAAATCATGTTGTACAGCAAAAGGTGTACATTTTAGAGGTCAGTTGCCTTAATCTGAGTAATTGCCATAGAGTTGGTAAGCAACAGATAAAGTCTGAGGAGATTTCTTTACTTGAGGCATTTCCCCTCTAAAATGTTTTTGCTGTTTGCAGCAAGATCTTGGTTTTTTTAAAAAATCAATACAGTATATGGAGAAAATGTAAAATAATAGTGGTAAAAACAGTGACCCTACAAGATTGGAAAATAGAGAAGAACAGCAAAGATTAAAAGGGGGTTATTTATTTTTCAAAGTCTTGGGACAAATGTGATGTGATATATCTTCAAAAGGATTTGCAAGGAAAGAACCTCAGCGTCAAAGCCCCATTATAGCAAGCACTGAAGAAACAGTTCAGCTGATATAATCTTATACTTTTCAACTTAGACATCTTACTTTTCTTTCAATTCTTACAAAAGTTTTTTTTTCCATTTGCTATAACAATTTTTTGTGTGAATGATGTAAAATCCACAAAACTGTGACAGCTGCTGCTTTCTTTCAAGGATTTTTTTCCCATTTGAAGCACGGGATGGTTTGTTTGCATATTTTCATATATTGTGCTGTGTGCGTGCGTGCATGCATGTTTGTGTGCAGGCCTGCTTTGCTTTTCCACGGAAAGGGATGCTGGTTCGTACAGAGGAATTTTGCACAAATTTTTTTGCAGGACTTGAAATTCACTTGTTGAGGCTCCCGATTTTGTTGAGACCTCCCTAACCAACAAGAACAAAGAATGTAGCAAGTATTGCTCACACCTCTATACCAATTCTTGTATACCAAAATTACTTGACCCACTTCATGAAATGTTACTGTGGAATTTTTAGGCCGGAAAAGCAACTCATTTACTGATGAATCTCAAAGGCAGGCAGCCCTCCAAATTTATACATCTAAACATATTTATGTACAGAGGAGTAAAAATCAGGATTTTATACTGTATAATGGCATGCAAAGTGCTGCTTCCTGCCATTATTGCTTGGGGTCTAGTGTCTCTTAGCAAGCTAATGACTAGATCTGCTAAATATTTTCAACTCCCTGTTCAATTCCACAGAATCAGTGGGTAATCGCTGTCTCTGAAAATCACAAATTCTTTGAACCATAAGTCTCATGCTGCTTAGATTATTGAGCTGTAGCACTCTTTGAAATGATAATGGCCTCTCATTACAGCACAGCAATGGGATTGGTTAGAGAGCGGTACCTTCCCTAACAAAACGACTGGCTGGTACTGTATATGCTTCTGCCTTTCTGTGCTATATTTCCCAGGTATGGAGAAATCAGCCATGATTTGGTAGCTAATTTTTTAAAAAAGGAAATCTTTATGTATTGACTGACGTTTATAACATAATTCATTTGTTGCAGCAAAAATAAGTACCGTATTTCATAAGACGCACTTTTTCCCCACAAAACAGGGGGGGTGGAAAGTCTGTGCGTCTTATGGAGCGAAGAAAACAGATTATATTTTCCTGTTTTCTTCTCCTAAAAAATTGGTGTGTCTTATGGAAAGGTGCGTCTTATGGAGCGAAAAATACGGTAAATAAACATTGTGCTCATTCGGAGAAATGAGTTGTCATCATCATCAGCTCCTGAAGAAATGCAGACAAGGAGTACTGATATATCCGAATTTCTCCTAGGAAATTTCTGTAGCAGTCAGGCACGCAAAATACCAGTAGTGAGGAATATATGAAAGATGGAGTTTCAGTGAACGATTTAAGGTGGCTCTCTATGTTCCTTTCAAAAATTGTTTGGTTCAACATGGGAAAGTTAATTGGAGGGGAAGATGCAACAGATTTCCGTGAGTCCCTCTTGCTTTTCAGCTGCTGCTAGAACTGCAGCTTCTTTCAAGGTATTGACCACGGGTGGATCACACACATGTTGGATGGATCCCATGTACACACCACCATTATATTTATGACTTGAACCAGAGTCCCTACCCATCCCCCCTGCTGCCCAGTTTGCCTCGGAAGCAAAATCAATGGGTTTTTTTTTCCATGTAAACAGTGGCCTCGTTCATAAAGTGGCTCAGATACAGAGCTTAGAAGAATCACTTTTTTAAAAAAAAAAACCCCTACATTTCTCAAAATACTCTAGTTCAGTGGCTCCCAACCTCCTTGGTTCCCCAGATGTTCTTGGATTACATCCCCCAGAAATCCTGGCCAGCACAGCTAGTGGTGAAGAGGCTTCTGGGAGTTTTAGTCTAAGAACATTTGGAGACCCAAGGATGGGTACCACTGATCTAGCCAGAATGAACATTGGTCACGAAGAGTCGGACACGACTAAACGAACGAACGAACATTGGCTAGGATAATGGATAATGGGCATAATGGCAGGAGGTAGCTTAGGACCTGTCATTTCCAACAGGTAACTTTTCCAAGCTTTATCGATACTTTTAGTGGTGTGGTGCATTTCTTACCACGACATTGTTGGTTGTGGGCAAAGATAAGACATTATCTTTGGATGTTTTCAACGCAAAACCAAGTGATTTTCCTGCTACCACCACAGTTGAGGCACTGAGTGTGAAGTGTGGTCCTCAAGATGGTCTGGGTGGACTTATATGTTCTCTCCCTTCCCAAATAAATTAAGTAGCCCTGGTTTGGGAGGTGGTGATGATCATGTTCGCAGGTGTCAGGCACCATCGGCCTCGTTTATTAACTCTGATTAGCTTCATAACTAAGGCCTGTGATTAATTGATGTGGATAGCCATGAACCATTTAACCCTTATACCAACCAGTTCCCTGATTTCAATTCTCTGTCCTCCAGAATAGCAGTTTTAGAAGATGTAGCCCTGTTAGTCTGTGCTAGCATATCAGTCAAAAACTAAAGCAAAATAAAAAAATAAAGCAGACAAAAACGGTGTGGCACCTTAAAGACAAACTACTGTATTTTAATGTGAGCTTTTGTGGACAAGTCCACTTCCTCGGACATAAGAATGGGACTACGTGGCAAATATTTATACCTTTATATAAGGCTTTTAAAGATCATTGTCAGGTCAATAACTTGTGCTCAAAAGCAATATCTGGAGGAATGTATCAATATATAGATATTTGCCATTTTGCTTTTGTTTTTGCCTGATATCCCCCAGAAGTTGTAGTTAGACATTCAATTTAAAAAAACAAACCACTTGCAGCTATGAGTTAAATTTAAAACATGGCTTCTCTGGTTGCATAGCATCTAGTGACTCGCACAGCTGTGTGTACACAGACGCAGAAGTCACAAATAGAATGCTGCCCATATTGCTTTAATATTATGGTTTGTTTAGTTCTGTTTTAATATGACTGCCTTTTGTACGCTTTTACCTACACCTGTTTGCATCTATTTTTATCTGCATCTGCTTTAATTAAGCTATGTTTTGGGCCTCAGTTCCGTAAATCAACTAATAAACATTTGTACAAGTGAAATTGTAAGAAATTTCAGGGTGTTTTACATTAAATATTAGATGGCTATATATTTTCTTTCTTTTATCTCTCCATCTTTGCTGTGGTTTCACAAAGGACAGCTGTGTTTCAGGGAAACTGGAGGTAGCTGATCTTTTTCTTTCTTTCTTTCTTTCTTTCTTTCTTTCTTTCTTTCTTTCTTTCTTTCTTTCTTTCTTTCTTTCTTTCTTTCTTTCTTTCTTTCTTTCTTTCTTTTCAACCCCGTATTATCCCCTGGGAATCATTTCTCATTGTTGCCTGTTCAGTACATTTTAAAAAATTGAGAATATACCAAATTTTAGAAAGTATTTCTTATGTTGAATAGAAAAACATGGAGTTGTCTCTTTTTTTAAATGCATGTCAGAGGAAGTGGAATTGAGTTACACCATTGCCCTTCCACCAACATAACTCTACAACGAGATTTTA